GTAGACAGAATCTGGATTATTTGCCCAGAGTAACCAAATTTTTCTTTTCAGTTTGCTCAGTTAAGCTTTAAAAATGAAAGATAGAAGCTGATTGGTTGCTATGGACAAATGCTCCAGATTCTGTCTGCTCCAGTTTTGATAAATTCCCCCTTAATAGAGACAAAACTGCAGAATGGAGGTTTGCTACTTACACTTTAATGCTTATTTTGTTGCGTAATCACTGATCATCTGTTTTTGCTTTCAATAAAAAGTCAAACATAAATTTGGATTGTTAAGGAATTTTGAACAAAATTTGCTGAATCTTGAGTGAATCTACCTACGTTCGATTTACCAATCACTAGTTAGGAAGCAAAGGTTACATTTGTGGCTTGATATATATAAATCCTGTATAATAATAATAATAATAATATCTCCATTCAGATTAATGTATTTCAGAAGAATACAAGAATTGCGAGGGGGTGGGTGGAAATAAAGGAGGTTAATCTCACTATGGGAAAGGTTCAGGAATTGCCACATATGTGGTAGATGAATTATACTGAACTGGAATTTGCTGAGTGTCTGCAATGGCCACAAACCTATGTATTACTGTAAGTTATCTTTGGCCAGTTCCTGTAAGTCTTTATTGCGTTAATGAATTACAGTCTATTACTATATACTGAGGATAATATGAATGGCATGTAAACCTTAAGAAATACCTTTTTTCTTATTTGCTCACATTTGGTCTGGTAAATATACCATTAAAAGCATTTTATTATATATCTGTTTAATAAGTGTTGTTACATAAAAATTACCCATTGATCCTGCCAGAAATTCTCAAGCAGTGTTATCAGTCCTGCCCAGTTAACCTCTATAGATCCCTCCTTATGTATCACTTCTCCTTCCCTTTTAGATTGTAAGCCCTCAGGGGCAGGGCCCTCCTTACCATCTTGTCTTGATTTGTAATGTGATTGTAATGTCTTCCCTATATTGTAAAGTGCTGGGCAAACTGTTGGCGCTATATAAATCCTGTATAATAATAATATAGAGTACAGCCATGCCTCCCATGTCATGGAAGATAAGGAAAGGAGAATCTGATGAGTGAATTGCAAATCAAGAACAAGCAGACCAAGGTGATAATGCTGTTCCTGTTGTACAGTACAGTGAGTGTGTTACTGGCAGGATCATCAGGTAATATAAAAAAACAAAAGCATATAAAAAGAATTCTAGAGGCTGGTAATTTATATAATTTTTTCATGAGTTTAAATATATATGGAGAGATGGCCGCCACATGAGCCACTAGTAATTTTAGCTTCTCATACTTGTTCTGTGATTACCTGCCCTGTTTCCAGATCCAGCAACACTGCCAACCTCTGGTAATGATCAGGCTTGAGTTTCAGAGTCTTTTTATAATTTTTCTGCTGAATACTAAAAATCAGTAGAGATGGTTTAAGGATGGAGGATACCCGAAAGCACAAAAAAACAAAGGACAAAATATGCTGAATTGTAGCAGCCGCAACATTAGGTCCTATAAGTAACGGCCAGGAAAATCTATGAGCTCTAAAATATTTATCATCTCCCCAGCCATACGTCAAAATCACCCCCTCAGGGACTGGTTAAGTCAGATACATATTCATAACCTGTGGTCAACCCTCCTAAACTGTACACTGGAGCCCCCTCTCAGCAACAAGTGGAATCAATCAGCCCACCAGTTTTAGGGAAGACCTGCAGAGCACAAAAAAAATAGATGCTCAGACTGGATACAGTCCAGCAATAAAACACAGTACTGGGGGGAATTCATAAAATCTGGAGCAGACAGAATGTGGAGCAACCAATCAACTTCTCTCTTTCATTTACAAAGCTCAACTAAGCAAACTGAAGATAGAAGCTGATTGGCTGCCGTGGGCAGCTGCTCCAGACCTTTGCTCCATCAGAAGGAATTTATCAAGACTGGAGCATACAGAATCTGGAGCATTTGTCCATAGTAACCAAACTTCTCTCCGGTTTGTTCAATTAACCTTTGAAAATGAAAGATAGAAGCTGCTTGGCAAATGCTCCACTTTTGATAAATACCCCTCCAATAAATTTAATAGCGACACAACTGCAGAAAGCTGGGTCCCTACATACACTTTAAGTACAAGGCTTTGTGGTATGTTTGAGCACAAAGAAAAAATATTGATCCTAATTTTGCATGCAAGAGAAGAGCCATTATATTCCACCCAACCTCAGACGCCCAGGTCTCCTACCTTTAGTCTGTTCTAGTGCTGCAGTCTCCGTCAACGTCTTTCATATTTGACATGCTCGGAGTATTGGGTGCCTGTGTTTCCTGCTTTACAGTGTGGTTCCAACCTCTGACTCCTATGTCAAAGCTAAATCCTATAATGATGTAGGGATTGGAGGAAGGAGCCACAGTGCACGGCAGGAGACACAGGAAGTTAACACTCCAAGAAATACTGAATGCCCAAAACTTTGATGGAGGCTGTAGCACTGCAACGTAGGTGATGTAGGAGACATGGGCAGTTGGAGAGATATATATATAATAGCTCTTCTCTCAGGGTACTGTAGGTATGTTTTTTCATGTCTGCATCTATGCTGAGATTCAGGTTTTCTCTTTTTAAAACCCTGAGATTGATTGCATTATTTAGGCTGGGGTTTTGTCTGCTAATATTTTTGTGTTCCCTGGTTGAACCCTTTCCCCCTCATCGATATGCTAATGAAATTTGTAAATAAAACCTCTCTCTTTTCAGTACATACCCTATTTTAGACCCAGTGATGACATCACTGGGCCTTTGCACTTCTGTGTGCAACACAAGCTTATCATGGCTGGTGGAAGGGATCAACAGAGCGCTGTGCATGGCTTCCTCAAAATATCACAGCACTTAGTACTCCTCTGAAGAGTCCAATCTTTGGCCATCTCTGGGATTGAGCCCATATTGGGTGAAGCACATAAGAGAGGGGCTGCAGTGTGCCACGGCCAGGCTCAATAAAGCTGAACGATCAGATATTATCGGTGTTTAACTTCCTGCTTTTCCCATTGAGTATGTTGAGGGTGGTCAGACTCTCTTTGGCTGACACCCAGAGTTCCAGAGGTGGGGAATTCTTGCAGGAGCTTGGAGAGGTGGCATTTATTTCTATCCCTTGTTCTGTGATCAAATTTTTACTCAAAAAAACCAAGACATATTATTTATTGACTGTGTATATGTTTTAACTTATTTTTATTTTCTATAATATATTTAATCCATTGTATACTTAGCTCACCAATAAAGTTTACATTAACAGAAGGTAAGTGGAAGTTTTGGTATTTCTGAAATATACTAATTCCTACAATGTCTATATAAAACTGATTTAACAATAGAGTGTTAAGGAGATTTGTAAGCAAAAAAATACTTTCAGAAGATCATTTTGAGTTAACATCATTGCAGATCTGTCTGAATACATCTGGTTTCAGTGTGTTGTATTTTTCCACAGGATGCTGCCAGTGTCAAATAACAGTGTGGCATACATAATTTCCCATCCAATTTCAATTTGTATACCTGATATCACAATGACAGCACCGGCATTACAGGAGAACTATGAGGTGAGTGCTTTTCACTCACCTCATATTTCTAGCCGACCTGTGACAATGAGACTGTCGCAGGTTGGCTCAGTAGATCGGGAGGTAAGCGAACACCAGGGGAGGAGGTGGATTCCCCCCACCCCCCTTGCGCCGATCCGTCAGTGCTGACTGGCGGAACGGACGTTCAGGCGGTATACTGAGCCTAGGGTGACGGGAGGACGCTAGTTTGTGTCCTCCCGTTACCCTAAGGAGAACTATGGGGAAAAGCCTTAACCCCATAGTTCTCCTTTAACACTGAGCAGAGTGGATTGAAGTTGCTGGTAGCAGTCCGTGGTTCTGTAAATGTAAGGCAGCTACGCGTTGGAGGATAGCCTCCTGACTGAACTTGCCCTATGATTTTACTAGCTTGAATTGCATGAAAATGAATGAGAATCACTGCACTTAACTACATGAACCTAAAATGTAATTCTAGTCAGCTATAAAGCTTCACTACTTTGTGTCCCTCTTGCCCACCTAGGCTAGCAAGGGTGATATGCTTTAGTGTAGGGGCGGTTCATATCTGAGGATATCTGCTTTTGCTTTAGTCCTACAAAGCCATTCCACTTCACCAGGTGTGACATCTTTGGCATTATTATTATACAGGATTTATATAGCGCCAACAGCGCTTTACAAAATGGAGGGAATCATTACAGTTACAATACAATTTCAATACAGGAGGGTTAGGAGGGCCCTGTTCATGAGGGTTTACAATCTAGCAGGAGGGGCAAGTGATACAAAAGGTAATCATTGTGGAGGATGATATAATGGAAGAAGTAAAGGAGAGGTATGTTGAGGTGGGATAGGTTTCCCTGAAGAGACGCGTTTTCAAGGAAAACTCTTAAAGGTGGACAGAGTAGGTGAAAAGTGGGCAGAATGGAGTAGGAAGTTCCAAAGGATGGTAGACACTATTAAGTACAATGCAGGACCAGTCACTGCTTCTACTTTATTCATTCTGTAAATATGTGTTTTCTAAACCTCTACTGCTGCTGTTGGATTATTTCCCTATCAGTTATCACACCAGCAGTCATTAGGTGGGCTGTTTTGATGTGGAGAAGCAAAGTCTGGCTCTACCAAGGTGAACAGGGCAGGATCTGTTCTGTAAATAAACTACATTTTATAAAATTGGATTTAAGCTTTATATCACTCAGATCTCATTACCAAGAGTGACACCACAAAGATCACCAAAAGCAAACAATACAACAAATTTGAGCATTACTTGAAACATTTGCCCCATGATGGGGTTTATAAAGGTACTCCAAAGCAGTGTGAGCATTAACAGAGTTTTCGTAAATGTTAGAAAAATCTCTGACTACCTCAATCATTTATTCATCAAACAAATAGAACAAATGTTTGTGATGCATCATGGTATAAACATTTAAACACACAAAGGCAGATTTACCAATACCCTTACGTTACATAATATGCAGTAACTCAAACGCTGGGGGGAATCATACATCCTCTAGCTGTCACAGAAACTATGTATATACTTTTGCTTACAAATTCACAAGATACTTAAAGCCTTTGTAAGTGAAAGGAGGTATCTTGGGAACACAGGACCCTGTTTTGGACAAACAAGCCATTTGGTTAACATCACATGAACTATAATCCTGTTCACTCTGAAAATAAACACCATCCGGAGAATGAACAGAAGGATCAATGTTAAAATAGTTGTAAGGCCTGAGGAAGAACCCAACGCCATTTCCCGGAGTGGCAGTGTTTGGAAGATCCTCTGAGTGGGGTATATGGAGAAATCCAACTGTAATCCAAGCGACCAGATCCTGGGACAGAGAAAAGTCAATGAGAGTTGTGCAATACTCATAAATGCTTCATAAAATCCAAAAAAGACCAGGATAAGGAAAAAACTTGGACTAACATTATAGTCCTTAGCCCTCTGTATTCATATACATTTTAAATCATTTTAAATCTTAAATTTTAAATTGAAGAATATTTCATGTCTAATAAAATACAGTACAGTACTAATTTTAAATAGAAAGCTATTCAAATCACTAAATATAAATAATTATTCCTCTGGCATACTTTCCTTTGAAACATAATATAATATGAACATATTAAAGCAGACCTTTTTTTTTACATTTTAGATAAAGTAGGGAGTGGAGATTTTCCTGCCCTGGAGATACAGCAGAAAATGAGAGGAAATCTCAAACATTTTTATAAAATTCATGTCTTAGTGATTTGTAGTAGGAACGGGTGTCCCAAATGGAGGACTCTGCTTCGCTTCATGTTCTGGTGACAAATCTAAAATAGTGAAAATGGTCACTAGGACAAAAAGAGGAGTGAATCTCCCTAGCTTGGATAAAAAGAAACTGACAGGGGGTCTTACTTCTAAAAATGCTATCCAAAAAAAAAACTAAAAAGTTTTACTTTGCATACACTTCATTTATCATGAGATGCTCACTAAGACAATTGCCAGAGCTGTAAAGTCAACAGTCTGTAGTATATCATTAGTACATATTTAGCAATATATAAATAAAGTTGACTAAGTGGTAATTGGCTGCTAGTTGTAAATTGATCTGTATACATTAAATTACCTTTTACAAAAAATGTGGTGAAGTGACTGTGCCCCCACCAACTTCTCAAAAGAGCATTACCATTAAGGGTTCGGTTTTGCATTGTTGCTTACTCATTGAATCAGGCGCTCACTTTCTATATTTTTCAGAGATCAGACATCCCCCCCAATATGCAATGTAGAAGCATCTTGTATGTCTGGAATTTAACTGTGAGAGGCGAATACTGTAATTGTAATCTTGCAGAAAAGGTACCCAGGCATAACCTGTTGCAGAATATCTCACAACTGGATATAAGAAGCCGTCTATGTTCACCCAATTCTGAAATATCCACTTAGGTGAAGTCAGCCTTTCAAATAACGTTGACTCACCTGATTTTGAATATCTTCATCATTTATGAATTCAGAGAACTTTACACTTGGAGCCCAAGGATCATTTTGATTGTAGATGGAACTGCTCTCAGATTCGTCATCTTTATGATGAGTCACTGCTAGTTTGTACCTTATAGAAAATAAAATGGTATCGATGGGCTTAAGAATTCTTTTGCTATTTAAGTTATCTAAACAAAAGTGGTTTTCAGTGTTAGTTTGAGATTACTGTGTTTTTTATATTCACTGAATGAGCCTCATTTCCTAAAGCAAATGAACCATAGCAGATATACTTTAAATCATTGCGGTATGCTTGTGTAGGGATGTAGTATTTTTCCAAATTATCCTCCTATATTTCTGTTCTGTGATCTGTTAGTGTAGATTAGTCAGCTTAGCTGTACTGGCATGGGTTCTCTAAGTGTGCAGTGATTATTCTCAGTCACTTGTTGTATTGGGTGTCCACCAGCAGAGTGTGCTGAGATAACACTCCACATTAAGGATGTTTAATGCCTGGCCAATCAGTAAGTCTGGGGAGCCAGTTGTGCATACTGGGAGAGCTAATAAATATCTGAGGCACTTCCTGGCACATTCTCTTCGCTCCAGGGTCTTCACCTGTCTCTGTGATTCACCAAGTTAGGCCCCAGGCCTGAGGGCCTAGGGCTACGGGAAGCTATGGGGATCTCCTATCCTGGGTGGTGTCCCTAAGTGCCTGCTATGATGGAGTGTTACATTACTGGCCTTGATGAAGCACAGCTGCAGTTGTCCCCCACAGAGATGGTGGGTGACTGACTGAGTCTGGAGACGTAACACTGGACCCTTCTAATTGCTATCCTGCCTTGACGTAATGACTGAGCATACACTAGAACAGGGGTGCCCATTAGGTAGATCGTGATCTATCAGTAGCTCTCAAAGCTGATGCTGGTAGATCACGAAGGGTGTGAATGGCGGCCCCTTTATTCCATTTTGGTATATTTATTTAGCTGTGCACACATGATTAACTATTAGCCTGAGGCCTGCTGAGCCAAGCTCCCTGACACCTTTCTGGTGGATACTGGTGGGTGAAGTGCTATGTATTACATCAAATAATATTTGTTTACACAGCCTGTTGCAAAATACAGCAAGGTGAGCCAGGAGAGAGAGCAGGGAGAGACAGACAGGAGAGAGAGGAAAGACAGCCAGGGGAGAGAGCAAGGAGAGACAGCCAGGAAAGAGAGAGCAAAGAGAGACAGCCAGGAGAAAAAACGAGGAATGACAGCCAGAAGAAAAAACGAGGAAAGACAGCCAGGAGGATGAGCAAGGAGTGACAGCCAGGAGGATGAGCAAGAAGAGACAGCCAGGAGAGAGAGCAAGGAGAGACAGCCAGGAGAGAAAGCAAGGAGAGACAGCCAGGAGAGAGAGAGCGCGAGGGAGTTTTTTTTTTCATTGGTAGATCTCTAGTAGCTCGTCGTTTGAAAAGTAGATGTTAACACAAAAATTGTGGGCATCCCTGCACTAGAACCTCAGTTGCAATGAGCCAAAGTTACATATGTGTCTAGCCAGTAAAGTGATACAGAAAGAAGGATTCATAAGATAGAGGACTATACAGAAGACTAAAGGATTGTTCATGGATGTACTTAAAAAATGGATATCTTGTGCTCCCTGATCCTCCTACCATTACTAATCCATGCATATGTAACCAAATACTATAAAATCTAACTAAAATGATTGGAGCTCATCACTCTTAACAATTATTGACCAGAGTTGTATTTACAGAAGAACATGCATAGGGGCAAGGTCATTCTCATCTAGGAGTCCCACTTGTAAACTACAAGGCCCAGCTGGGTGTAGGCACTAACATTTAAAGAGATATCCAATCCCATACTTAGTGGAGGCTCAGGATTTCCAAATTACCAACAGGTTTGACAGCGGTAGCTGATTGGAGAGGGTTCTCTCACATGCCCCCCTCAAAAAAAACAAAAACAAACGGGTACACTTGCATCATGGAGCCACATGCACATGAGGATGCCTGTGCATATTGAATTTCTTGGACCTATCTAGCAGATCATACACTAAAGTTAAATGCATACACTGTGGTCCTAGTTTGCCATCCAAGTAATGCTGCTGTTGTGTCTTCTGTTCTTAAAAGGTGCACTACGGAATGTGTATGTAAAATAAAATAAAAACCTAACAAAAGTGATGTGTCTGATTTGCTAAGCAAAGAAATGCACCAAGCTAAACAGTGTACCAAAAAAAGACACACCTTATGCTGTCAAAGGAAAAAAACCAATGTATGTACAGGTATATGCAGAACTCTGCAACGCAATGGGCTCAGGACTCTTCAACGCAATGGGCTCAGGACTCTGCAGCGCAATAAACTCAGGACTTTACAACACAATTAACTCTATAATACAGATTTGTGACACGTACATCTACATCAGGGGGGCACACAATTTTTTGTCTGGAGATCTACTTTTCAAATGACGAGCTCTCGTTGGTCTCATCTACCAACGAAAAAACACCTGCATTTGAAAAACAAGCACATTAAAATCGTTACTGGGACTACTGCCTCTCTCTCTCCTCGGGCTCTCCCCTGTATCTCTTTCTCCTCTCTGCTGTCTCTCTCTTGGTTGTCTCTTCTCGCTCTCTCTCCTCGCTCTCTCCCCTGTCTCTCTCTCTCGCTGCTGTCTCCTCTCTCCTAGCTCTCTCCCCTGTCTCACTTGCGCTCTCTCTCCTCGTGCTCTCTCTCCTTCCGCTCTCTCTCCTCGTGCTGTCCCCTGTATCTCTCTCTCCTCTCTGCTGTCTCTCTCTCGGCTGTCTCTTCTCTCTCCTCGTTCTCTCTGCTGTCTCTTCTCTCTCTGCTGTCTCTGCACTCGCAGCCTTCCCATCTCAGCTGTCACCGGAGTTCCAGCACAGTGCTGTGCTAGAACTCCTGTATTGGAAGTAACAGATTCAATACAGAGAACCTGTCACCTCCAAATGCTATCACACAGGGGCTTGTTAGCTCCTTTGTAAGTTAAAAAATTAATATAAGAAAATAAAAAAGTGACAAAAAAGTTAAAAAAAATAAAGGTGACAAGAAAGTTAAAAAAAATAAAGAAAAATTAAAAAACAATTAAAACTAATCTGGACCCCCTGCCATCTGGTCCTTTAGATCCTTTAATAGCCCATGCAAAAGGTCTGGTGATAGCAATTCAATACAATGTTTGAATGCAAAGATACTAATGTGTAATGATATCACAGCTCTGGTTGTGGGTATTGCTCACCACCCAATGCAGTAGCATTGTGTGCATGTTGCTGAATTACAAATGAGATGGCTGTGAGTTCAAATTCCCGGGTGACCACCTTTTCAGCTTTATTTAATAAAGTTGCAGAAACCAGCAACCAACTGGCTTTCAGATAAGTTAACCTTTCATATTGGTTGCTATGGGTTATTGCAGTGTAGTGTTATTGCAGTCAAGATCATGTCCTGTGGGTCAAGGCAATGGACTATTGGAAGTAGAGTTTAACTAGATTAGAGCAGTATTAAGGAGACCAAGAGGGGGACTCTCATGGTAGTAATCATGTGGTATGTAATGATATCACAGCTCTGGTTTTGGGTGCCGCCCAGCATCTATGGCAGTGGTGCTGTGTGTATGCTGCTGACCACAAAAATAAAATGGTTGTGAGTTCTAATCCATGTGCAACCACCTTTTCATATTTATTGACTAAAATTGTAGAAACTGCAGAAACCAATAGCAACCAATTGGCTTGCTGACTAGGTAGCCTCCTATATGGATTGCTATGGGTTATTGCACTGTGGAAGCAGCAGTCAAGATGCCCTGTGGTTCAAGGCAATGGACTCTTCAAAAAAAAGTTTAAGAAGGGAAGAGCCTTTAGGAGGTCAAGAGGGACACTGCTCTAGGTCTGATGGCAGCAATTTAATACAATGTTTGACCATTAATCCACTAATTACATGGCAAGCATTGATATCACAGCTCTGGTTTTAATCCCCACCCCTCTATCTAAGGTGGTGGTGTTGTGTATATGCTGCTAACCTCAAAGATAAAATGATTGTGAGTTCAAATCCTCATACAACCACTTTTTCAAATTTATTTATTAAAGTTGTATAAACTGCAGAAACCAATAGCAACCAATTGGCTTTAGACTAGATAGCTTTTCATATTGATTGCTATGAGTAATTGCACTGTGCAGGTAGAGGACATCCTTTTTTTCAAGGCAATGGACTCTTGAAAGTAGATTTTAACCAGAAGGGAATAGCCTTTTGGAGGCTGTTTGACCATAAATTCACAATTCGTATGGTGTGTAATGATATCACAGATCTGGTTTGTGCCCCACCCACCATCTGAGGCAGTGGTGTTGAGTGTGTGCTGCTTAACACAAAAATAAAATGGTTGTGACTTTGAATCCCCAGGTGACCACCCTTTCAGATTTATTTATTAAAGTTATAAAAACTGGTGTTCTTTGGTTCAAGGCAATGGACTCTTGAATGTAACTGGGCCAAGTGGGAGGCTGGCCTATGTCTAATGGCAGCAATTAAATCTAATGTGCGACCATTAAACCACTAAGCGTCTGGTATGTAATGATATCACAGCTCTGGTTTGGGTCCCGCCCACCATCTGAGGCAGTGGCGTAGGGTGTATAATGCTGAACACAAAAATAAAATTGTTGCAAGTTCAAATCCTCAGGTGACCACCCTTTCAGATATGTTTATAAATTTGTATAAACTGCAGAAACCAGTACCAACCAATTGGCTTAAAGACTACGTAGCCTATCATATTGGTGGCTCTGGGTTATGGAACCTTGCAGGCAGTTGAGATGGCGTCCTTTGGTCCAAGGCAATAGACTCTTAAAATAACTGCATTTTACAAGATGAGGATAGCCCATTGGAGGCCAAGTGGTACACTAGTCTAGATCTAACGGCAACAATTAAATACAATGTGTGAACTTTAAACCACTAATTATATGGTATGCAATGATATCACAGCTCTAGTTTGGGCCCCGCCCACCATCTGAGGCAGTGGCATTGGGTGTATGCCGCTGACCACCAAAATAAAATGGTTGTGAGTTCAAATCACCAGGTGACCACCCTTTCAGTTTTATTTATTATAGTTGTATAAATAGCAGAAACTGGTAGCAATCAATTGGTTTTCAGACTAAGTAGCCTTTCATATTGGTGGCTCTGGGTTATTGCACTTTGCAGGCAGTTGAGATGGTGTCCTTTGGTCCAAGGCATTGGGCTCTTGAAACTGTTTTTTTTTTAGCCAGATGGAGATAGTCATTGATGCCAAGATTAATTTAACCATTAATCCACCAATCATATGGTATGTCATGATATCACAGCTCTGTTTTTGGCCCCGCCCACCATCTGAGGCAGTGGTCTTGTGTGTAGGATGGCGATCTCACTAATAGAATGGTTGTGAGTTCAAATCCACAGATGGTCACCAATTCAGATTTGTTTATTAAAGTTGAATAAACTGCAGAAACTCATAGCAAACAATCAGCTTTCATACCGGGTATGGTTCATATTGGTTGCTATGGGATAATGCACTTTACAATTTGTATTACCTTTCTTGATAACCTCGGTTTAATTTGAGTTGCATTACCACTGCTCACAGACTTGAACATCCAGGTCTCTGGCTCAGCATGGAGGGCAATGACTGTGGAATCTGAAGGCCGAGTGTTCGATTCCCAAGGTAGATCAAACTACCTAATGGTTGTTGTGGGTGAAACAGCAACCATGTGCTTGGTGGAATGTGGAGGGGTGTCCCTGTTCACATAAACCTGGTGAGAGGTTAAAGTGCAGACCTTCTCACCAAAGAACTATGAGGTAGTTAGCACCATGTGAGTGAAACCCCAGTGACATAGACTCCAGCAGTGAAAGGGCATCCCTCGTCACAAAAACCTGGTGAGAGGTTAAGGAGCAGACCTTCTCACCAAAGAACTTTGCGGTGGTTGGCACCATGTGAAAGAAACCACAGTGACGTAAACTCCAGCAGGGAAGAGGCATCCCTGGTCACAAAAAAATGGTGAGGGGATAAGGAGCAGACCTACCTGCCAAAGACCTATGAGGTTGGCACCTTGTGAATGAAACCTCAGTGAAGCACACTCCAGCCATGTGATGCTGAGTGTCTGTGGAGACAAGTGAATGAAATGCCAGAGAAAGGGACACCTTACCATGCAAGAGGATAAGAAGTGACCACCACAAGCAGCTGGTGCAATGTGAGTAAGTTTAAAGTGACCCCAGAGCCTCACACAAAAAGGTCAAGGGAACAGAAAAACAAGTACTAGTAATTTTTTTTGCATTAATTTGCCTAAATATAGGACATTTTCAAGAAGCCTTCCACAGCTCTCTCTGTCAACTCAACCATCATCAGTGCACAGTCTTCCACAGGATATATTCGGCTACTTCCCCAAGGATGGTGATATACACAACCACCTCTTCAAGTTTTCCAAGGAAGGCAGTCCACATTACCACATGTTCAAGCTCTGAACACTTCCACTGGGTCTTCACACATTTTTGCACCCATCACACAACTCACTGGTGTTGGTCCTGCTTTATGTGACCAACTTTGCCCTCACTCATGGGAATCAAACCCACAACCTTCTGATTCAGGCTCCAGGAGCCTTACATGTTGCACCACAGAACCAGAAGACAACAGAATGAGTTGCTCATGTTCCTATATCATGGAGATTGGCTCTCTGAGCCTATTGAACTCTAAAACAAATATGTTAACACAGTAGAGATTCGAACCAGGCAAGCCAGGGTTTGCAGCATTCTAAATCATCAGGCAAACCACATGCACCACAAGGGCTGGACATGTGCAAAGCTTCTCAGTAAAAGTATATACTAAAGACAACTTTGGGGGTGGGATTCTAAAAAAGTGTATAGTGGCTCATGAATCATAGAATTAACCTCTCTACATGCAGATTTAAACACACCACCAAGACACTATTTGTAGAATGCATATGTTGAAAATGCAATGCACAATGCAGTAAGTGTTCGGGGACATGCACTGTAAATGCAATACCAATTTTACCACGTATTTGTACATTTGTTCTGTATTACTTGATAAATCATACAATAACATTTAAATTAAAAGTCTTATTGTATGATTTATTAAGTAGTACAGAACAAATGTACCAGTGTTAGTAAAATCGGTATTGCATTTACATTGCATATGTATATATATGTGTATATATATATATATATACATATATATATATATATATATAATCATTTGTTCTGCTTTTGCTACTTAATAAATCATACAATAAGACTTTAAATTTAAATCTTATTGTATGATGTATCAAGTAGTACAAGTACATGGGTATATTAGTAAAATCTGTATTGCATTTATACTGCATATCACTGAACACTTGCTGAAAGATATACTGCCCAGATTCTTCCTGGTCCCAGTTCTTCTCCCAGACCCCAGCAGGTGTGCATTTATAAAAAAAAAAAAATTTCAGATTCTACCTGCCTTGTGCTGTGCATGGCTGTGCCCTTCCCCTCCTTCTCCCCTTTGCACCTGCTGGATCTATGTGACAGGCCTCTGGGGAGTAGACAACAGCAGGAGGAGGCACACAGACACTGACGATTTCCAGCTTGTGAAGTGACAGGCTGGGAACTGATACTAGAGGACTGGATGGGTGGTATCCACACCGGCAGTACTGCTGCTCTTTTTCTGTCTGCTGCTCAGGGTGAATGGGAAAGCTGATTTGGGCCCCTGTAAATTATGAGGCCCAGGGCAGTTGCCCTATTTGCCCTGTGGTAAAGACAGCCCTGCTTATATACCCTTTAAAAGTATAGAAAAATCTCGAGGCACTCCAGTCTTAAAGGTAAAAATAATACCAGAACCTTTTCCTAGTGTAGTCCCTACCACCTGTAGTGGAGTGGCTACTAGAAATTTAGTGCTTACTAGAGCTGTAGTCAGTCTGGCATTGATTGTACCTGCCTGAGTGGAGTGTGACTCTGCTGCAGTGTGGGACAACCAATGAGGGGCACTGTGAGTGTGTCTGCACGGTCCATAAGCCAATCACTGGGGCTCTTATAGCCAGTGTTGCATGCTGGGACAGGGCATATACAGGTGAAACTCAAATAATTAGAATATCGTGCAAAGTTCATTTATTTCACTAATGCAACTTAAAAGGTGAAACTAATATATGAGATAGACTCATTACATGCAAAGCAAGATAGTTCAAGCCGTGATTTGTCATAATTGTGATGATTATGGCTTACAGCTCATGAATACCCCAAGAACCCCAAATCCACAATCTCAAAAAAGTAGAATATTACATGCAATCAATAAAACAAGGATTGTAGATAGAACAATATCGGACCTCTGAAAAGTACAAGCATGCATATGTACTCAGTACTTGGTTTGGGCCCCTTTTGCAGCAATTACTGCCATTACTTTTGCACGATATTCTAATTATTCGAGTTTCACCTGTATACTCAAGGGAATTGCCATGTGCTCATTCTAGTCTGGATTCAGCCATGGATTAGTCCAGGTTTTGGGGCTGTCCAGCCTGCCCCCAACAAATGCTGGCTGCTGGAGGTGCCTGGATTAGAATGGACCTCAGGAACAAGTCTGGTGTCTCCCCTATTGAAGATCTCACACCCACCCCTGCTCAGTGAGTTCTCGAATACCCAGTGCCAAATGGTGTTCCTTTTGATCCATACTGAATTACTAAAAAGGACTGGTGAGTCTGGAGTCTGTGTCTGTTCTACCATAGATGTCCAGTGTGGATATGTTAATAAAAGTTCTTCAACACCATATGATCTGATGGTCACTAGAAGAGGGCAGTTAATGCTAACAGGGCAGCTGGTTGCTAAAATCCCTAGACAGACAATGGGTGACCCAGGTTATTCTAGCGACTCCCCGGGTGGGTGAGCGCTACACTAGATAGGGGTCTGCTATGGATTTTAAGGGGGATCATACGCAAAAAAAAAAGATGGATAGTTCCTTCACATCAGAGCCCCCATCCTTTTCACATTCACCTTCCGGTCAGGAGCCCTCTTCCCATCAGAGTCCCCCTTTCACATCACGAACCCCCTTTAATAAGAGTCCTCTCTTTTACATTAGAGACCTTTCACATCAGATTCCCCTTCATTTCAGGACCCCCTTCAGATCAGAGTTTATTTATAATCCTCACCACAGAGTGGTTAAATGCTGGGGGAGATTGATGGATTAGCAATGCCACAAAGGTTACTAGCTAGGCACTGTTTTCTCCTATGTTAAAAAATAGATGGTGACACAACAGATCTGGTGTGAATGGGGCCTAAAAGAAAATTGCACATTATCAAATCTCAAGAACAACTGATTCCATGTTCTTGATCAGCTTAAATATTTGCATTCAGAGCTTTCCGACATGTATAAAATCCCACAATTCATGAATCAAGGCAATCAAGTTATGCAGGCTGGACAAATTTACGTGCATATTTTTAGAAAAAACTGAAAATCTAAAGTTCACCGAATCTGCTTTGCAATAGATTTGCACATCACTATGCCTTACTTGGCCCATCCTATTGCATCCTCCACGGGACTTTCTTTTGGCAAAGGTTCTCCGGCAAAGCTGACTATCTGGATTCTGTAGGAACGAGGGTGACCCCATTTATTTGTGGAATTACTTGCAAAGTGAATATACCGGGGCATCTTGGCATTCTGTTCATAAGCAGCATTATTTTCAGTCTTCAAAGTATTCCGTACCAACTTTGACCTCTGTATCTTGGCGTCTGTCTGCCATGGGATGTTTAATGGATAAAACTTCATATCTTGGGTCATAACAGAATTAGTGATGCCTAAAAAACATTTTGTATAAATTATAAAACAGCAAGGTATTGGTTTAATTATGCACCTAATATATACAGTATGTATTTGTGTGCTTAAAGGTCAGTCAAACCCTCTCAATGTATTACTGTAATGCAATCAAACTGCATATACAGTAGTTTATTAAAATAAGTGTGGAAATAAATAACTAAGGCAAGTAAACATTGAGATTAAATAAATATTCATATTCAATATTTCATAATAATTGCATATACACATCACAAAAAAAGTGTTACAAACTATTGGGTATATAAACCTAATATACATGTTTCTACATTTACAATACAAACACTTCTTAAAGAATTGCATTTGCATAATGTTTATGGATTTATAATAACAGAAAAATGGGCATAACCCTTTTTAATTAGTCATTTACAATAATACACTGTACCTTTGTATACAGACTTCGGATAGAGACTATAGAATTATAGCCAAAACTCTTAACAGGAAAGCAGGAAGTCGCACATCAATTACATAGTTACATAGTATTTGAGGTTGAATAAAGACATTAGTCCATCAAGTCCAACCTATTAGGATCTCATTCTAGTAGTACCTGTACCCCTGTATATTACGGTCCTTTAAGAAATCGTCCAAAAGTTTCTTGAACAATTCCACATTATTTGCTGAAATCACCGCCTGTGGCAGTGAGTTCCAGACCCTAACTGATCTTACTATGAAGAAGCCCCTTCGCCCCTTGTGCTGGAATTTTTTTTCCACCAATTTTAGGTGGTGGCATCTAGTTTTTGTAATGGAGTTAATTTTAAACAGTTTATCGCTAATGTTGCTACCACCATTGAACATTTTGTACATGGAGATCATATCTCCCCTTAATCTCCTCACCTCCTCAATGATTTTAGATCACATCCGACTTTTTTAAACCTGAACATAGCACAATTCAGCCTCACCTACAACCTCCGTTCTCTAACGTTTCACCCAGTAAGGGCTCTATCACAAAGATATCAAGCTCCCTTTGGTCAGTAACCAGAATCCCAGAGGTCAGGGATATTCATAGAGGCTTGGAGCAGTGATATTTCTCTACAAAACATTTTCTTAGTTTGGATAGAGCATGGAAGCTTTAAAAACCCCCTATCAGGTTATTTTTTGCTGTATCTATCCTGCTGGGCCAATAACCCATTACTTTCTGTCCTTGAGATGAAACCATCCAGGACAGAACCATCCACTCCATAAAGTGAGGGGAATTCCCATCGTAGGCAGTTGTCACCATTAGAAAGTTTCCCCTCACCTTTTGCTCTCATGACAACTCTAAAATGTAGGATCCCCTCTACTTTCTCTCTCAGTGGCAATGGCCAGCAGGACAAACAGAGAGGCGACCCATTGAAGATCCAGATGACAATACAAACTTGGCAGGGCATCTAACCTTCCTTTACTCAAAGTATAAAAAAAAATATCTTGACATGCTTTATCCTAATTGTCACTGCCCTGGCCTGCCCAAGGCTAACTGTGGTAAGTGGGAACAGCAGAGGCCTCTGTCTCCCTGGTGAATGTAAACACTGTTAAACCAGGACAGACCATAGCGGTGACAAGTAGGTGTTTAGTTCTGAAGGCTATATACATATTTACTAGTTTGATGAGGGGTGGAGATAAAGTGGATGTTTTTATTGTTAACAATGCAATGATGGATGCAACATAAAAAGAGACATTTCCATTGACCCCCACCCAAAACATATTTAATCCTTTAAATCAGTGGTTCAGTTAGGGTTGCTTCCTTTTGTAGGTAGGTAGAAAGCCAGAAAGCTGTTGCCTAAGCACACAGTGTACGCAGCATGTCACAGTATAATATTGGTGTTGATTGATAGGCTAAAGATATTACATGATCATAATGAGCACTAAATAAAGCAGTTTTTAATCAGTTTTTAAGCAACATGATATGTTTTGCAACTCGGTGTTATTGTTGCCATGTTACAGGACTGCTCAAATAATCAAAGAGACTATAAAGAACTATAGACCTTCTACAGTTGATTGCTCGAACCTAAGGTAAATACTACATGTAACCGCTTAATATATATGTAATCCAAAGAACTAAAATATTATACAAACTCTAATATGTTAATTTAATTTAATCTAGAGTCAGGACATACTACAGGAGATTCCAGGAAATTAATTAAAAACATAAGCCATAAACCTGAGAAGAAAAACACAGCCTGCTAGAAAAGATGTGTGTTTGCAAGAGTCAATTCTTGGGAATAGCTGTTTGGGGGGTAAAGATTGCTATCCAGTTCTGTTTGCATACAGTAAGACCAAGCTGCGGGTCCTTGAGCTTCCCAAGTGTGCAAAACAGCAAAGTTACAAACTTAGCATTGCCAGATATTGTAAATGTACACACCTCCTCAGGTGTGTCCCTAGGCTTTTTGCCACCTGAGGCGGCAGGGGGGCAACTAGTGACATCACTGGTTGCCCAGAGCTGTGTGGGACCTCAGCCAGAGTATCCCAGGTTGCTAAGAGCTGGGCAGGGAAATGCAGAGCCCTTACATATCTCCTGGCCTGGCTCTTAGCAACCTGGGATACTATGGCTGGAAAGGGGGTGGCAGGCCCCACTCTGCCTGCTGCTCCCTCTATGTGATCCAAAGAGATGCTGCCTGAGGCAATAACCACATCCTGCCTCCTGATAGAGATGACCCTGCAGACCCCTGAGAAGGTGAACTTGCAGGCCACCTATGGTCAGCACATACATACATGCCTTTTAAAATGTTAAATCTGCCATCATAAAAGAAAGCTCAGAAATTCTGGAAAAATGCAGAACAGACTGCTCCTGTGAACACATTGCAGGCTTTTAAAAAATATATGTAAATACAGCTGCCGTGTTTTGGAAGGTATAGGGTATTAGGTCCATACCCTTGATAATAAGGGTATTATTGTGTAAAAAGTGCAGTAAGGGCAGGCATTTACCTTTATTTTTGCTTTTTTGTGACTGCAATAATACAATTGCCTAAGGCGAGTCTGCAATAAAAATCAGAAACTCTGTCAGCGTTTCTGCATAGTATTCCATGCCAAAGACTGTTTGACATCAACCCATGCATAATCTATCTATCTATCTATCTATCTATGTTCTATCTGTCCTTCCATCTATCTACTGAATTGGAGTCAGCTAGTCTTACACACTATTATGTAAGATTAGAATAAAACAAAACTCACCTCACACAAATATCACCCTAGCAAAAGGTCAGTTTTAGTGATTATTTTACCCACAAGCAGTGTGCTGTGGTTCCTCTCACTGGCTCCTATGTCAATACAGAAAGTAGGAGCCGGCAGATTGAACCACTAGGTGCAGGAGGGGACCAGAAATCTGACACTCCCGGAAGTGTCGGCTTCTGCATGTTCTCCAGCTGTAGGTCTTTCTTTAGTACTGCAGACATTGGTGGTGTAGGCAGCAGGAGAGGTGACAATTCTAAGTTTTCTTTGCAATGGGCCATATAATTGCAATGCTTATTTTAGAAGTCACTTTAAATCTTGCAAGTGCAAAAAGATTTGTGCTCATTCCATTAGTTTATATATATTGAAAAATATATAAAACTAGCTAGGGAGCACAAAAACTTGAAATGGGAAATATGGCAAAAGTGTTCGGTAATTGTTGATTATATTTTTTTCTATTGAATATAGTCGACAAAATCTACACATATTGTAATGACATCAGACATGTTTTTGCTAATAGGAGCTGGGTACCAGTTATTGACTTCAGGATAATTCCTTTTTGATGCATTTATCTCCTGCACCCAGAATCTGTACTGCTAAGGAATCATTACTTGCCATTGAGATTTATGTCCAGTATTCTTATGGTTGCTTTCAACAACGGCAAACTGTAGTGTCTTGAGAATGTAAACTGAAGAGTGGTATGGTGGGGGAAGGGGAAAAGAATGTTGCGGACTTGGCTCGTAAGCTGCATGTTTTTTTCCAAAGTGATGATTAAAAAAACTTAAACTGAGGGATTACCACTACGCAGTCATGATGTTGCATAATAAAAAAATCAGTCTGCAGTTTCCAGCTATTAGAAATGATAATATGCCAAAAATGGCAAGTGAGATAAGGTCTTCTCAAGCAGTATTATTGCAACGAATGTCTGCAAAATGTCACGGAGTAGACAGCTAGTGTTCAGGACCTTTTTGTTGCTTTGGAACAGTGTTCAGGTCCTTTTTGTTACATTGAAACAGTGTTTCTCAACCTTTATTCAGTCAGGGCACCCTTAAAAAGTATGCAAAATATTCAGTCACCCCAGCCTAAAATGTGAAAAACAAATGTAAAAATGTGTGGTTCCCCCCACTACAAAATCTATACCAGACTCTTCTCCTATAAAAAAGGTCTGGTATGGATTTTAAGGTGAAACTCTGCTTATCACATAAATGGCCTTCTTTAAAATCAGGAGCCCCCCTTCAATTCAGAGTCTCCCTTTTCCACATTAAAGCCTCACCTTTCACATCAGGAGCCCCCTTCACATCAGAGTCCTCAGCTTCCCCCTTTTTCACATCGGAGTCCCTCTGTCACGATAGGAGCCCTCCTTCACATCAGAAGCCCATCATGGGCTTTTAGATCTGGTGGTCCAGGATGCTGCCCGCCATGGGTTAGCATCATGTACTTTCATGGTACTGGCAGCTGGCCTGTCTGCCCCCTTGGAAATGCCTGTCTTTGTGTAAAAATTTGTACACATCTCTGACAAAGCTGGGAGGTAGCCTTGGGTGCTAGGGCACCTTAGTTAAGGAAGGCTGAATTAGAACATTACCACTCCAACACACAGATTGCATCTGCCATCACTGCTAAATATTGCAGCACCAGCATTAGCACAGTGATGGCCACTACATCCTACTGGGCCCTGTAGATACTTGAGTATACAAAGGGTACCAGTGGTTTGAACTAGCACAGTTCCAAATTCACATGCTTTCATAACCATCTTACAGTACCCTTTGCAAATGTGTATTTTCAAGAAATGGTGTCACCTGCACTCAGAAAAAGAGCCGTTTCC